CCCCCCCTCCCCCCCCGCTCCCCCTCCCTGTTTTTTATTTCTCACTTCATTATCTTAATAGTTTGGTTGCAAATAATTTTGATACATATTGATCTTTAGTCAAAATTAGCTGCCAATAGATTATTGGTCCATTATTTTCTTCAATAAACAAATAATCATCACCCATTATTATGTCAACGATAGCCCCAACTGGTTTGGTGAAGGGACGCAGATGACTGGGTAGAAGCGGTGGTGATGGAGGGAGGGGGAGAAAGAGAGGAATAAGTTGAACATTATTTGAAATATTTTGCTTATTGTGTTCCACGTACTCTGAATGAAGCAACGAAATTTGTTAGATTATTCTTGATATATGACTATTAGATAAATAATTTAGTAACAGAAAATCCTTCTACCGCCCACCTTTCGTTGCAAATAATATGGTAACTGGCCAACGGTTCAATTCGCTCGCTCAGCTCTACCCGAAAAAACAACGTCCGATCGTTTCCACTGGTATCTGATAGGTGTTTGCTGTTTCACTGTTTCAATCTGTTGCTTTTTCCGTCGTCGTTGCTGCCGCCGTATCAGTTGATGCTGCAATGAATGCATTGGATAAGTGGATGCCACCTGGACAGTAGCCCGGCAGCTGAGTACTGATAATACCCCTGAGGCAATGACGCCCCTTTTGCTGTTATATTTGTCGTTCGTTGGCTGTTGTTGACGGTTTGTGTATACACACAAACACACTCTCACTCACACACACACACACACACACACACACTCACACACTAACATACAGACGTTCACAGTAGGCGTGGAAGCCGCCAAGTACTTCTTTTCTGTTTCCAATCAACGTCCAATTCTTCTCGCATTTGTCTTACGTTTTTTTGCAATTTTTTTTCAAATTAACAAAACTGTTTGAAAGTAGGCAATGAAAATTGGCGGAAGCTTTTTTTTTTTGTTTTGTTACTTTTTTCTTTATAATATCCATATATTATTAGATTATCTGAATGCTGTTGATATGGCCATAATGAAGGCATTTTTTTTGTCCAGTTTATGATACCAGCTTTATCTATTTCCATTAACACTTTTACTGTAAATGATTGATTTTGGATTGCTGCATTTACTGACCTTTACTGGCGAAGAAGCGTAAGTATTCACCTATGTTTTTATTAGTTTCTTTTTTTTCCCCTTTGCGAAGGGTGGGGGCAAGGGGAGAAGAGGTATTTCAAAGAAAAATCGTACTAGTATGGATTCGCAAAATATAATGTTTTGTTTTTACCTAAAAACTTTTCACTATTTTCTCTAATTTACATCGTTGTTTTTCCGTCCTTCCCCATTGGCCTTTTCAGTATCTCTTTGTTGTCTCTCTCTGCATCGTTTGTTATCTGTGTATTAAGAGGTTGAGCAACGGTTGTTGTCAGAAGACAAAATATTTGATTGTTAAATGGTGATTGAGATGTGTCGTCGCTGTCGTTAATATGCTTTTATTGGTATTAGTTGTGGGTTCAAGTCCAACTGGTGACGGTTTTTTTTTTTTTTTGTTTCTGTTTTACCTGATTTTTGTGTGAAAGAAAGGGGAACTCTGCAGATAGATGTGCAGCAGCAACTGATTTAATGCTTATGATTACTGTTGAATGATTTTCATAATTATCACCGATGGCAGCAGTGACTATTACTGCGACGACGGCAACGACAACTATGGGAGGACGAAGGTGATGAGTAATGACTAGTGCTTTTTAGGTGAGCGTCATTGGTTGTTTGGTCATATCTTTTAGGTTTCTTATACATGTAGAACGAGACCATTTTCAAGATTAAAAGAATTGTAGAAAAAGAATAATGAAGGAAAATGTTCACTTGGAACATCTGACGACTAGCACGATTGATTCATTTGTCCTTTTTTTTGCCTTTTTAAAAAGCTTTTACCAAGTTCTTTGTATTGCAAAAAAGCAGCGTTTGTTGTAGAGACATAACAGTGGAAAGTTCTTTTTTTAGTTCTATTACTACTTTGGTTTTCATTTCAGGGATTCCTTTTTTTCGCGTTTTTTCGTTTCCGTTTTATGATGCTTGTTTGGTTTCACAAAATTTGTTTATACTTTCTGTTTTTAATTTTGCTGCGTTAACTTTCACTTTTTTTTCTTGTTCGTTCCCTTCTTCTGCATTTTTCGACGTGTATTAGTCTGTGTTTGTTCGTTACCATTTGGGGTCTGTTACACCGTTTTACAGATGAACATGGAATGAATGTTCAGTGGTTTCTAGTTGTTTGTTACTAACTCTTCTTCGATATCACTACTCCAGAAAGCCTTCTTTGCAGCAATCAGAGTCAACGGTTTGGACGCCGTCATTGGAAGTTTGCTTTTCTTGATTACCTGGTTCTTTGTTAGTAGTATTAAAAAAGACTTCTTGAGTTCATTTAACCGCTTTCCTCTAAAGACCCATTTGTTTTGTTTTAAGTTTTTGTATTTCATACAAATATTTTTCTTTTTTTCTTGCATCGTCTCTCCTTTATTCATGGTTGAAGCGAGTTTTATTCTGCAACAGTAATTTGTCTCGCTGTATCGTTCTGAAATTCGTTCCTGTTTTGACAGAGCAACTTGTAGAACGCCTAGTATAAACGGTTGTTGACGAGCAGAGACCTGAGTGTGTGCAGTGCCGGTCTTGTTGGTTTTTTTGATCAAGGCTGAACTTTGAAAGAAGCAGGTTCAAAGATGTTCTTGGTTCTTCAGAATCTGAAAGTTTTTCCAAAGTCTGAGGGGAATAATTATAAAAATGACTTTTGTTTCATTCTCTATATTTTTCGTTGAGTAATTTTCAGATTAAGTTA